TGCTGGTGCCGAGACCGCCTCGGATATCCCCATCTCTGTAACACCCGCATTTTCCAGGATAATAAAATAAATAATAATCCCTGAAATCTCCATTTATTAATCCTCATAAATTGTCTTCAACACCATAAATCTCGAAAATAAAATAAATCTGAATAAATGTTGATACAGCGGAAGCATTAAAAGTAACAAAAAGAAAATAACTTGAAAACACCGGTCCGATAATGAATCACTACTGCTTAACAGTCTCACCTGAAATGGGGAAAGAAGGAGGGGTGAGTAACAGCGGAGTCACTCAGTGAGGTATGGGATGCTAGACATGCAAATCACAGACTCAAGTCAAATAGAACTCCCACTATGGAAGTTTAGCTCTAACATGAACAAACACGACACTTAAGGCATCACACAAAACAACCAAGCGATGATAACATACAGCTAATCCATACACCCCGCATACTCCTCATAAGGATATATATATATATATCTTATACTATAAAGTAAGGTTTTCCCTCTTCTCCTTATGCCATGTCACTAATTAGGTTTATATAAGTGTGCCATGTGTCCCAACCTCAAACTGCTCCGTTTCATTCAAGTTTGTTTAGACACACATATGGGTTTTGTTTTTAATTGGGCCTTATTTATGTCAATTCAATCAGCCCAAACAGTAAACGCAACGCTGCGTGAGTTAGGTTTCAGACATTTCCATCTCCGTCACTGGAGACCGACTCAGAAGCTGTGTTCTGATAGGGTTGTTTCATCTTCTTCCTAGCAATCCGCGATGGAACACGTTACATAATCATCCTCTTAAATTCCATCTTTAATCCATCACCCATGATCTAGCAATTTTAACTGATACAAGGCGGTGGAGCTACAACTAAAAAAAGGTAAGCTTTCTTACTATTAGAATCATCTCCTCATTCCGTTTAAACAAACCATTAAACTTCTTTTCTATAGAATGGCTAAAGCTTTCTGATTTGAGGATCAGACGGTACCCCTCCACCCATTAAAATACGCTTGCTCTGTTTTTGGGAGGACATGAACATCTGACGCAGTGGAGAACTGATTGGAGTGGATATATTGCTACTGGATTCCAGGTTAGTTAAGCTCCTCCGTTTGATTTCTAAACTAAATTTTCTCGTAAGTATATTAATAACATTCCCTCGCGTTGAATCCTCCGTTTGATTTCTAAACTAAATTTTCTCCTAAGTATATTAGTTACAAGTTTCTTGATTACATCTTTGTTTGACATACTTTTAATAAGAAATTTAAAATTGTATATTGATTGTTCTATAAAATAAATACTATAAAGTAAGGTTTTCCCTCTTCTCCTTATGCCATGTCACTAATTAGGTTTATATAAGTGTGCCATGTGTCCCAACCTCAAACTGCTCCGTTTCATTCAAGTTTGTTTAGACACACATATGGGTTTTGTTTTTAATTGGGCCTTATTTATGTCAATTTAATCAGCCCAAACAGTAAACGCAACGCTGCGTGAGTTAGGTTTCAGACATTTCCATCTCCGTCACTGGAGACCGACTCAGAAGCTGTGTTCTGATAGGGTTGTTTCATCTTCTTCCTAGCAATCCGCGATGGAACACGTTACATAATCATCCTCTTAAATTCCATCTTTAATCCATCACCCATGATCTAGCGATTTTAACTGATACAAGGCGGTGGAGCTACAACTAAAAAAAGGTAAGCTTTCTTACTATTAGAATCATCTCCTCATTCCGTTTAAACAAACCATTAAACTTCTTTTCTATAGAATGGCTAAAGCTTTCTGATCTGAGGATCAGACGGTACCCCTCCACCCATTAAAATACGCTTGCTCTGTTTTTGGGAGGACATGAACATCTGACGCAGTGGAGAACTGATTGGAGTTGATATATTGCTACTGGATTCCAGGTTAGTTAAGCTCCTCAGTTTGATTTCTAAACTAAATTTTCTCCTAAGTATATTAATAACATTCCCTCGCGTTGAATCCTCCGTTTGATTTCTAAACTAAATATTCTCCTAAGTATATTAGTTACAAGTTTCTTGATTACATCTTTGTTTGACATACTTTTAATAAGAAATTTAAAATTGTATATTGATTGTTCTATAAAAAAAAAATTCCCGACCAAATTTTTAACGTTTCAGTCATTGTGAATTCTTATTACCAAGTTCTCCTTTTTAGTTTTTTGTTTGACATATTTAGAATAATCAAAAGTAATTCTTTCTGTAAAGCTGAGTAGTTCAGCTGATACAAATCAGAAACATCACCATAAGATTCTACCTTTCCGTCTGGACGCAAGCAAAGAAGTGGAAGATAATTTTCAAAACACATGCAACACCAATAAGGGGATGGCAGAACAAAGTAGTAGCATATAGAAATCAAAGGAAGAAGAAGTTGGACTCATTGTCTAGCAACATTTGAATCAGAGAGAAGCTGCACTGATGAAGTTTTTGTTGAAGAGGAAACATCGATGCTTTGGTCAAAAGGTAAGAGGCTCACATGCCATGGGTTTTTCATCAAATAACTCTCTTCCTTTGATTTCTATATTTTATATTTGATATCTTTTAAAAAATGAAATAAAATATTGTTAAGTTCTATTATGTTTTTTTAAAAATAAAAATACAATAATGAAATAAAAATAAAAATATTTACAAAAACGAAAAATAATTCTTTAAAAAACTATTTTAACACTAAAACACTAAACCCTAAATCCTAATCCTAAACCCTAAACCCTAAATCCTTGGGTAAACCATAAACTCTTTGGATAAATCTTAAAAAGATTAAAATTATTTTAACATTAAAATTATTATTATTTTTTAAAAACATAATATAATGTTAAAATATATATTTTAAATGAATATTTTTCGTTTAATGTAAATATTTTATTTGTGTTTATTTTTTTTATTTTTTAAAAAAATATAACTTAACAATATTTTTTTTTTTTAAAGATATCAAATATGACATAACATCTTTCTATTGGTTGGTGAACCTCTAGGTTCACCCTAGGGGGTGAACCCAAGAAAAAGTCAACTTGGATTACAGGTTCTATATATGAGAAAAGATAGTAATGAAACATGGAAACCCATGGAAACTTCTGTTAATGTTTCTATCTTTTGGTGGTATTGTAATAGAGATTCATTTTTCGATAAGAATGTTATTTTTTCAGCTAATCTGAGTCTGTTTCTGAGGTACTTTTATGGCCTTTCTATATTGATCAATTTTGCAAATGATCCAGCTACGTTAAACAGTGTTTCTGTGAAATATGGAAAGTCTTTTTATTTTTTCTGTTGTGTTATCTTTACATCTATATTATGATGCGAAAGAACTCTCTTTTAATGTTCAGAAAATCTATTATTCTGTTGTGTTTGACACAAACACAGAAGGAATATATGAATATACGAGAGAATATAATCTATTATTTATGTGTAGAATTTTGAAAAGAATTCTAAATAATTTTTGTCCTTAATTTTGTAATAAAGGTACAATAAACCTCAAAAATGTAAAATAATTACATTGTACATAAAAATTTGATGATGAAATAATTCTATAGTTTTCAGGTACGCTTAACAAAAATAAGTATATGAATGTTAAAATTACTTTTACCTTTCAAATGAAAAAATAAATAAAAAATTTAAAATTTTTATTATATTTTTTAAAGAAATTATTGTTTATCACATGTTTATCCGCCCGTAGGGCGGGTTTCCCCTAGTATATATATATATACATGAAGTGTCGCTAGTACATTTTGTCTCTCTACCCCCGCCCAACCGTAGCGTCGAATGCAAACGTCTCTGCATCACGCCCCAAACAGTAGTGGCGAAGCTCAAACGTCTCTGAACTCACGCCCCACATTGTAGCGTCGAAGCCCAGACAGCTCCGAACTCACGTCCCACACATAGTCCCTACTCATAACTATGTATAATACATATATTTATATAGCATCACTTAGCATCAAACAGAATTCTACACTGGCACGGATCATGCTTTGAAATCTAAACTACGATAGAAAGAATTCTACACTGGCACGGGATTTACAGAATAGACCCTCACGTTTGCCATGGGTTCTAAAGAAAACCTGAGAAAACACCAAATGTCCATGGCAGCTCTAAAACAGCAATTTTGGAACTCTCTGGAAATAGACAAATGTGATGATTCTGGAAGAATTGAATCCTAGAGATAACAGATCAATAACTCAAGAACGGACCGTTAACTTTTCAATCCTTCCGGTCAGAATGTAGTCCTAGACGTCCTCTGTCCATAGCCACCGAGTTTACTCCGATCGGACACTATCTGATTAACCAAAATAGTTTCATCTTCAGGCTGGTCGCAAACGCAGACTGCATCAACACCTCTCAGGAAAAAAAGTATAACTCTCAGAAAATAATTCGGAATAACAATCCGTTTATTGGAGATGATAGATAAAAGAATTAACTCCTTACTGACCAATTTCCAGACTAGAAGCTTTGTTTCTGTTGACCTTTTCTGACTTACACTGCAACTGGTACAAACTGACTCTGTAACACATCAGCTTAATTATCGCCAAGGAAAAACGTCAGTAACTTTCTAACTGTACATTTGTTTCACGATCGGAAAGATGATATAGAAATCTGACATCGATATCGTTCCAATGCTATCTCGTTCGTTTCCTGATTCATTCTGGGTCAACGGCAAAATACTGATGAAGATGACTGCTGGTAGATCCGATCTGCATAAATCAATCCCGAAGAAATAATCATAACTTTTAGATAAAAATTCCAAATGACGATCCGTTTTCTAATAAAGATAGATATTCGAGTGTATAACATAACCTAAAAATTTAGCTTCGAAATTTATAGATTTGATTGATCGTTTTTCTGTTCTTCCAAATCGTGTCTGCTGAGCCTTAATCTCTCTTGAAATAGGAAGAGTTTAGGGTTTTCTTCCACACTACGGGGCCTAGCCGGGCCGAATTTACTGGGCTGGATTTTGGGTCGTTACAATCTCATTATGGAAGTTTCTAACTGCAGCCATGGATCTGACACGCGATCAGGTGGAAGCAGCGGTTCGTGCTTTGAGACCGGACATGTTCGATTTTGCTTATTGGGTTCCGGAAATGGCCAAGGAGTATAGAGTCACGAGTGTGTTGTACAGCGTGGTATCTGCTACTGCTATAGCTCATGACCTTTCCCCTGGCAGCGAATTAGGAGTTCCTCCACCTGGTTATCCTTCATCAAAGGTGTTGTTCCGCGCACATGATGCTCACGCCTTGTCGTCTCTCTCCATCTTCTACAAGAGGCTGTACCATCGCATGACCACAGGTCTTATGAACTGTGATATCATTTCAATGAGAACATGCCAAGAAGTAGAAGGTAAGTTCTGCGACTATATAGCACGCCAATACCAGAGGAAGGTTCTGTTGACTGGTCCAATGCTTCCTGATCCAGAAAAGAGTAGACCACTTGAAGATCAATGGAGTAGTTGGTTGGCCGGTTTTAGACAGAGCTCTGTCGTGTTCTGTGCATTGGGAAGCCAAATAACTCTTGAAAGAGATCAATTCCAAGAACTCTGTTTAGGAATGGAGCTTACTGGTTTACCCTTTCTTTTAGCTGTAAAGCCACCAAAAGGAGCAAAGACGATTCAAGAAGCATTGCCAGAAGGGTTTGAGGAGAGGGTGAAGGGTCGCAGAGTTGTTTGGGGAGAATGGGTACAACAACCACTGATCTTGGCTCATCCATCAGTAGGTTGCTTTGTGAGCCATTGTGGATTTGGGTCAATGTGGGAATCTCTAATGAGTGATTGTCAAATAGTCATGCTTCCATTTTTAGGTGATCAGATCCTCAACACTAAATTGATGACTGAGGAACTTGAGGTTTCGGTAGAAGTTCCAAGAGAAGAAACAGGATGGTTCTCGAAAGAGAGTTTGAGTGCTGCTATCATTTCTGTGATGGACAAAGATAGCGAGTTAGGGAGTCTTGTGAAGAGGAACCACGCCAAATTGAAGGAGATTTTGGTAAGTCCTGGATTATTAACAAGTTACACGGATAAGTTTGTGGAAGCATTGCAGAATTTACTTAACGATACAAATCTTGAATGAAATACTTTGCTTGTAAAGAAAACATGGTAGCTGTTTCAAATAAGGCAATAAGAAACTAGACCACGAAGTAGTTGTGTATGCATGTTGTTATTTTAATTGTGCACTAAATAAGGATGCCCAAAATAAGTTGTTGAGGTTCTAAAAGTGTTTAATAAATAAAATAATGCTTGTAAAGATGAACATAGCAGCTGTTTCAAATAAGGCAAAGAGACTAGTGTTACGAAGCAGCAACAAAAATAGTAATTCTCACTTGTATGATAACCGTTCAAGTCCTCATTTTACATTTATTTGCCACATTTTTTACTGATTTTGCTACAAATTGATTTATCAATGAAAGAAGTGGCCATTTAAAAGTATGAAAAAAACTCTAGTTATCAAAATCAAAATTAAAAACGTGAAAAGGTATAGCCAAGAAATCAATCCGAGTACAATTTGAACTAGAACAAAACTTAGGTTCACACTATTAACCTTTAAATTCACATTATCTCTAATAACCACTCTTTTAGCCACATAGATTAATAAATTAAAAATATTAAATATTTTTTAAAAAAATTCAAAATAACTACAAAATTTAAAAATAACGCTAATTTTAACGATGCTACGTTGCTAGCCAAACTCTAAATCCAAATCATAACCCTAAACCAAAATTTATACCCTAAACCCAAACCCTATATCCTAAAACCCAAACCTAGATCCTAAATCCGAACTCTATACCCAAAATCTAAACTATATACCCTAAAACTTAAAACCTAGATCCTAAACCCAAACTCTATATCCTAAACCCTAAACTTTAGACCCTAAATTCTAAACCCAAACTTGAAATCCTGAATTCAAATCCTATAGTCTAATTCCAAACTCTAGACCATAAATCATGAATCCAAACCATAAATTCTAAATTCAAACCTTAAATCCTAACATTAAACTCGAAAGGAACAATATCAACATTAATCTAAATATTAAGGATATAAGATTTGGGTTTGGATTTACAGTTTAGCTAAGGTATAGGGTTTGGGTTTATGGTTTCATGATCTAAAGTTTAGGTTTAAAATTTAAGGTCTAGGGTTTAGGGTTTAAAATTAGGGTATAGAGTTTTGGATTAGAGTCTACGATTTAGGTTCTAGGGTATAGAATTTAGATTTAAGGTATATGATTTGGGTTTAGGGTTTGGGTTTGGGTTTTAGGGTATAGGAATTGGGTTTAAGGTTTAGAGTTTAGGATTTAGATAGGGTTTAGGGTTACGGTTTAGATTAAGGGTTTAGCTGACGGTGTTAGCGTGTTAAAATTGACGTTTTCCTCTTTTTTTAAGCTAATTTAATTTTTTAAAGAATATTTAATAATTTTTATTCATTAATTTATGTGACATAATGTGTGGTTATTAGAGATGAGGTGAATTTAAAAGTTCACCTCATAGTTTTGTTCTTTGAACTATCTTCGAAGTATATCTTCAAGCTTGTTGTTAGAGCTTGAGTGAACAATAAAAGATATATATATTAGAGCATCTTTAAAAATACTCTATTTTAGAGTTTTACTAATGTTTCTCCAAAAAATCTTAATTTTAGAACTTTCAAAACTCTATATTTAAATTTTAAAGGTGTTATACTCTAAAATAAAAACTTCAAACTTAACTTCAAAACTATTTCTATTTTATATTATGGTTCTTATATTTGTTATAAATAATTCAAATTCGTGGAACTTTTATAAATAAGTATCACATATATAAAAAATATACAGTAATATTAATTGATAAAATATTACACAAATATAAAATTGTAATACAAACATATAGTTAAATATTAAAATACAAAAAAATAGCACATTAAGTCTTGTAATATTTTTGTTGTATAGTTCTAGTTTTAAATTTTTTAAATCTTATCTTGATATTTTTTTTAAAAAAAAATTGTATATTTTAAATTTATAAAAATAATTTTGAAATATTTATGAGATAAAAATTTTAAATAAGAAAACGATAAAAACAAAATATTTAAGAATTATGAATATGATGTGTAATTATAAGGACCAAAATGCAAATAAAATATAAAATCAAATTTAAAGTTTTGAGTAGTGGTAATTGCAAACTCTAGTTGTATATTATTATTATTCATTATCTTAAACGGATCTGGAGACCCCTAGATTTAACGAATTTGTGCTCACTCTAAGAGAATCTCTAAAAGACATTCTATAACTTCAAATTTAAAGTTTTAGAGTTACGTACCTTTTGGAGAGTTAAAACTTCATATCTGAAGTTATATAGGGTCTTTTGAAGATACTCTTAGAGTGCGCACGAGTGAGCAAGAATTCATTAAAATCTAGTGGTCTCTAGATCTGTTTAAGATAATGAATCTATATTATTAAAGTTGAAGTACATTTGAGAGTTGTTTGGAAACATGAATAGTAGTAATAAAGAGTTTAATGTTGTTTGGCTATAAGTTTAATAGAGTTGGGCTTTTAAACATTGTTATAATAGAATTGGGCTTTTGTTTAATTTATTTTATGATATGGTTGACTTTAATCATTTGGTTCATTGTAATAATTTGTGTGTTTCAGTTTATATTTTATATAAAGACCATATTCAATTTTATTTTTTGTTGACTAAATTAAAAATAACAACAGTTTTTAAGATAATAACAATTTACATTTCAAATAATTTAATACTCAGATATTTTTTATCTAAAGTATTTTACATTATTCAAATTATCATAAAAACACAAAATACTTGAATAGTTTTTACTAAAATATTAAAATTTTGTTTTCGTAACGGGATATTTATCCGAAACACCTCTCTTCCCCAAAAATAAATTTTACCCCGATTAATCTAAATCTAACCCTAGAAATCGTAACCAAACCGTTACCATATTGGAACCAAAAATTAATTTGATATTAGTCGGTTATTATAATTGTTACCAACCCCAGTTCAAACCAAAAGAATCGAACCGAACGCAAATCAATTTATATAGATAACTGAACAGATCTTATATTTGTAGAACTAAAAAAAAACTAAAAACATAAATAATTCAACAAAAGTTGAACCCAAAATCAAACTCCAGTCCTATTACATTCAATACGATCACAGTTTCTAAAATACGATAATAATAGATGACTTATGAGTATATTATTCTTTCCCAAATTAAGTTAAACCCGTGCTGGTGCACGGGTCAAGATCTAGTAATAAGTTACAACTAGAGTTTGATCTGCATGTTCATATAGATAGTTTTGTTTTATAAATATATAATTTTGATAAATATCATAAAAAAGTAATATGTGATTTATATTTAGTGTTATATATTGTATAACTCTATAATGTTATTGTTTGAGATTCTTATTCGTCATTATTAACATATATTGAATTATTTTATATATTTTATATTAATATTATTAAAATATTTTTGAGTTATATATATAAATTATAATATGAAAGAATCAAATATATAACCTCCTTTACAGGTTTTTAATTTTTTCAATTTGCATATAATACATTTTAAAATTTATTTAGTTATGTTGTAGATGGATAGTTGTTTATGATCATTGATATTTTTCATTTCGTGTTTAAAAAATAATACCTTAACATCTACCACTTTGTTATTTTACGAGAAATTATAAGTAAATACATTTTTATGTTTAAATAATATATCTTTATTATTTTAGTTGATTGTATACATAGTTGATCTATCATAATATTTTAGTAAATTTCATTAATATATGATATTTTTGGATGTCATGGTATTAAGTTTTATGATTTATTATTATTTAAATTAAGATTTCAAAATATTATATTACTTTTTATTTTTAAAACATTTTGAAAAACTTATATTAGCATTTATGGATTTATCTTTTATAAAAATTTGGAATATTATCATTTTTAATATTTATTTTGAAAATGTTATACTTGGTCAAGAGAATTTTTGAAAATTATGCAAATATGTTTTTTAGTTTGGAAGATTATCTGATTTTGAATTTTTTATTAAATTATTTTAATATTTTCTTAATATATATGAATTTTGTTAGGATTTTTTATATATTTTCTCAACAGATTTTGTTATCATTAAAATAAACATTAAATTTATAAGTAAAACTAATTTGTCACTAATATTTTTAATTAATTTTTAAAATTCAGATTTTTATATTAACATCTATACTAATAAAATTTAAGTACATTTTGATACTTTTTGAAAACATGGATAATAGTATTAAAAATAAGTATGTTTGGAAACATGAAAAAGAGTGTTTTTTTAGTATTTCCTTTTATTTATATATTTAGCCATTAAGTACTTCACTTTTGTATTTTTTTTTATTTACAAATTCTGTCATTATATTTAAAATCAATCTAAATTAATTAATTACAGTTCCAAAACTGATGGTTTTATTGATAATATAGGAATATCAATTACAATATAGTATATATTATATAAAACCATTTTTATATAGTATTACCCTATTTAATTTAGTTAAATAAATAAATTTTGAGAGTTCAATTTTCAACAAAAAGTATTATAAAATCCATAATAATTCATTATAAATCTGTTGTAAAAAAGTAAAATTTTTAGTATGTTGTTTCATTTTAAAATAAATTAACAAAGAAATAACATGTTAAGATATGAATAATACAATTACATCAAATTATAAAATTATTAATATAATATTGTACAAATAAAAAAATTATTATCAAACATCTATATTATAAAATACTATATTCTACTCTATATGTAAAACTTTTTTAACTAAAACTTTTACTAAATCGTTTAAGACCCCAAAATTTCAAGGCTACCCAGATCGTGGAGTAGTTGGGGAGAATGGTGCAGCAACCATTGATATTGGCTCATCCATCAGTTGGCTGCTTTGTAAGCCACTGTGGATTTGGTTCAATGTGGGAGTCTCTAATGAGTGACTGCAAATAGTCTTGCTTCCATATATGGCTGATCAAGTTCTCAACACGAGATTGTTGACTGATGAACTCGAGGTTTCAGTTGAAGTGCCAAGAGAAAAGACAGGATGGTTCTCTAAGG